TTATAAAAATATTTTTTTATAATTTAATAGATTATTAAAAAACATACAAGATAATTTAATACCTAAAGAAATTTTAATGTTTATATTTTTTATCGTTTAAATAATAAGTTTTGGCCCAAATCAATCTAACGTACAGTAAACAGAAAAAAATTGAACTTCTCAGCTGTGATTGTGGTGTAAGTGATTTTAAGTCAATTAATATTCAAACATTTATGACAAAACAAAATTGAGGAATTAAATATTTTCCATATTCTTCACCCAGACAAAGGTCTGGTTTATAATAGCAATATAAAATGACCCTCAATCAGTTCCCCCTGAAAAATTTTGTGCCCACCGTTGCAAATGTTTCAGGTTTCACAAGAACGATTTTCGTCACTTTCTTGGCAAAACCGTGCATCTCTGCCTATAGCTCTGTTCGTGAGAAATAGTAAAAATACTCTCATTTTCCTCCTAGAGCTGGACAGTCGTAGATAAAATTGCGTGTGATTTACGACTTTGAATTAATATTTCATACGTATCGCGGGCATTAACAAAGCTTTCGTGTAGAGAAACTATTGCGGGCAAAGCTAATAGTCGAGCTCGAGAGGTGGGCGAGTGAGTTTTCGTTTCGTTGGACGCGACGAGTGCGCGCATGGTGCTGCTTTTAAAAATCACATCTCGTACCACACCCGTGTGCTTTTGAGTTTCCGGTGACCTAACCTTCTCATCATCATGCATTCTGCCCCTTGCCTTGATATGCAAGGTTTAATGCATGTCATGCCTGCCCGACCGTACCCTTTTTATAATTCTGATAACATGGTTCGAGCGAGCGAGGCGCGCACCTTATGCTCTGCTCTGCAACAGCTCTATTTTCTTTTTTTTTTTTATTCTTCGCTTCTTGATGCTGCTCGTTCTCCTCCTCTGCCACTTATTATTTTATAATACGCCACTTCGGCCTGCCTATTTGGCTGCGCGCGTGTGTTTTGTATAATTTCTGTACACTTTGCCGTGTCGGTGTACGTTTCTCGCCAAAAGAGCAGGAAGGAACTTACGCAACCTTCTCGGAATTGTGGACCTCGGCAGAATTATTATCTATATATGCCCAGACGCACGGTAGTAAAGTAGATAGAAGACCCGTGACGTTTGCTTATACATTTATTCGCACATAAATAAACTCCTGGCTTATACTTGCTATGCCTGTGAAGATTCGACTAGAATTTTAAAGATTAATAATAAATTTCAATTTTTTTTAAGGGGAGGAGAGACGTTTCTGAAGTGAAAAAATGGATTTTTCCTCTTGGATAAATATATTTTTGATTGAAAAATATTAAATAAATTGCTATTTTCTATTTCACGAGCAAGGAAATTTTGAAGTATACATTTTTTTTTCAATTTTGAATGATATTAAGTCTTGCTCATGACCATGACCAAAGCTGGTAAAGACGTTTGCTTCTTAACACAAAATTTCAACAAGGACAAAGCCTTTTCTCCTCACTTCCAAAGAAACTTAAAATGTTAAATAAAAAAATATATAATATAAAAATTTACAAAACTATTTTTGTGTTTTTTTTTTACACCCGTCGCCAAAAAAATTAAGGGGACATTCAAAGCCCTGTTTCAATTCGAGAATTTTCCATAAATTATTTAAATAAATAAAAAAAATGCTCGTTTGGCAAATCATTTGAAGAACAAAGAAGACCATTAAACGTCTATGCCCGGCAGCAGCACGCGTTCCCTTGATTGCCACAAGTGTCAAAATCAATTAATCACCGTGATTGATTGATCTGACCAGCCGCAGCTCAGCATCTTTTCTTTCTTTCGTCGGCCAGAGATGAAATTTTATTTCTATTTATTTTTCTTTCTCCCTCGCTCTCGGACCAAATCGAGAAGAAGCGAAATGGAAACAAACGACAGCGGAATAAATTTATTTGAAAAATAATGATGGACACGCTGGCCGGGGCTGTCAGCTGCGAAAGCAGGTAGCAGCTTCGCTTCATGCTTTTAGCGATCAAAATTCAGCCTAACTAAAATCGGTGCTCAGTGGTTTGAAAACATTTAACAAGTGAGCTAACAAGGTGCTGTGTTTACTTTGCTGCGTGTCTGCCTGGCTGGCCGTGCGCGCCGAGAGAGATGAGGAGCACGTCACATTGATTTACGAGGCCTGGCGTCGCGACTCACACCTCTGGAGCCACCAGCTCTGATTGATTCTTGGCGTAATTACGCTCCGGTCGCGAAAACGGTTTGTGGTGGGCGCTGATTGATTCGGCCCCCGAACCCCCGTTTAATTGTTTTCGCGGCCCCCACAAAGTTTGAGACGTGCCCACCCATGAACCATTTAACTAGGATTGTGAAAAATGAGGTCTTATAATGCTCTATGAAAGGATTAAAACCTATTCATTCAAAATAACCAACAGCCGAACAAAGGTATCAAAAGTATTGCTGAATGGTTTATTTGAAGTGAAAAAAATTAATAATAACAAAATTAAGGTGTTCCAACATGTTAAGCAAAATATAAAATAAAATTTTATTATTTTAAATTTTTAAATTTTATTTTCATGGAAATGAAGAAATCGGGCTTTTCCTCGTTGCGAAAATTGTTTTTATTCAAAACTAAATCTGTCTCTAGCTAAAGGTCGTTTGCTATAAAATACTGTAGGTTGGATTAAGATTTTGATTTTTATGTTAAAATGTATTTTTCAAGTTTTTTCGATAGTCAAGATAGCTGACCATATTACAAAAAAGTGGAAATGTATTTTTCTTCCATCAGCGACTGAAATATGTAGCTTCCGTATATGATAACCTTTTAATTCATGATCTCTTTAATTGAGATCAAGTTAAAAAAATAAATACATATCCATTGATGGAAATCACATTTTTAATAATTTTTCTCTCATATAAATGTGCAATACAAAAACATATTTTAAATAACATTGGAACTTAATAAATTACTTTGAAATTAATTTCAATGGCCCATTGGAAAAATAAAACCTTTGAAACAGTTATGCAACCATTTTATTTTTGCTGAATTTTAAATAATCCAAATTAAAAAAAAAAAAAAAATGCTGAATTTAGATTTTTGAGCATTTTTGTAACAATTAAATAAAAATATTTGGAGAATTCAGCAAAAGTTTACAAAAACAATTTATCGTTTTGCTGAGATTCAACTTCGCTCTGGTCCTTGTGGCGAGCTCCTCATTTATATATTCTCTCTGCAGATTAGATAAAATTTTCAGTAACAAGCTACTAGCGTTTCTCGGCTGCGATTCCGCGAGATGCGACTTTCTCATCGTCTCATCTCTCTTGCCGTTTGGAGGAGCGTGATGCATGGGAGCTTTATTGTCAAAAGTTTTACTTTTCTCCTCTCGTCTTCGTGCCGTGTGTGTGACATGCGTGCTCGAAATCACTCGCGCACATGTATATACGAAAGAAAGTTTTTCAACGTGAAAACCTCGGTGGAAAAATGAGGCAGTTAAAAGATAACGACTGTCAGCGCGATATGTGTTGGATTTTTTTTTCATTTTCGCGACGCTGGCAAAGTGTCATTCACACACCCTCAAAAAAAGTCAAAATGTCAAACATATCAACAGGAAATAAACCATTTCCGACACTGAATCACAATTTCAACACCAACTAAGGGGACGGAAAAGAAACAGTTGAAATTCTTAGTATTTGCCACATTATCGTGTAATTGTTTAAATTATACTTTTTACTGTAAGACTTTGAAGTTTGAATGAATTGAAAAGGAAAACGTCATTGTACTTAGGAATAACATTCAAGAAATCTAATAAACAAACTATGACGAACTTGAAAGGATAGAGATATTTTGAGATATTGGAATAAAAATATATTTATTATAATTTTATGAAATTTGTTTTTAAATAATTACAATCTTGAAATAATCTTCAAAGTATAGTTGTTTTCAATTGATACTTTGTACCATCCGAATTTCATTGATTTTAATTCAATGACAAGATTATGAAATTAAAACTTTATTCAAGATACTAGAAGAGTCTGGAGTTTTCAATTATGATCGCATTAAAAACTTTTTCGCACCTTGCCGACTCCAAACAATGGGTGCAAACAATTGCAACAAGGTGCATCTCTGGTGTGTCAGGTGTTTGAAGTTGAGACATCTCTTTCTCTCACCTCTCGTCTGCTACGGTTTTCAAATTATTTCATGCCGCAGAGAAACACGAAGTTGCGCGAGGAAATAATTTTTAATTCAATGCAAAGTGCGCGGAATGTTTCAGCACTGCACTTTATCTTGATTAGTTTGCTCTTGATTTATTGCACCATAATTTTCTTTTCATTTGCTCTCACTCGGGAAATGCACTGAACTTCTTTCGCCATTAATCGTCCTTCTTATCAGCACTGTTTAGCATAACATATAAATCTCATCATGACTGCCGGAGAAATTACTCTCCAATATATAGACGAATTCCAAAAAGTGGCATTTTTTGCGGTTCGAGAGCAGAAGCAATCACCTCGTTGGTTACGCTGCTCAAATTTTCCGCTCTTTTACCTGAAAGCCCGAGTCTATAAAAAGCTACACAGATGCGCGCTCGTTTTTGGGATAAAAAGCTACAGAGTCGTGGCCGATCGAGCCGCCGAGACCGCAAACAGCACCGCACGTAATCATAATAATAAAGTAACGACTGGATAATTTCAGCGCTCAATTTCTCCTCGGTCGAGCCGACACATCAATCGGGCTCGGAAAGAGCCGAAGAAAGAAAAGTGCACGCGCTCCGCTTCATCTTTGCTCTAATGACGCGCTGCCGATACGTCAGATCCTCCAAGAGAAAAAAACATAATTTCAACGTCACGCTGCCGGCTGTGACCCTTGACCCCGGTGGACGCATCCCTGACTCCTGGTCCCGATAAACCTCGACACAATTCTGCTGATAAAAACCCGAACAAAATATTATACTCTCGAGAGCTACGAATCGGAACATCATCCGATGTGTGATTAGAAATAAAATAATATTCTAATTAATATAAAATAATTATTTAAAACTACTTACATCTGAGCCAGATCCAGTGTGGGTATGTCAGACCAACTTCAGTCAGTCAGTCAGTGTTTCCCAAAAACAACACAGAGCACTTTTCGAAAATCCAGAAAATCGAGATTTGAGTTTTTGCGAGTGTTCAGTTCCTCATGATTGTCCGGGACACTGGTGCACTCTGGACACTGTGGTTGGCTTGGTGAAGAAAAGACGGACAGCGAGCGACGATGACTCTCCTCGGAGCGGCGAACGGTAGGTGTCTGAGGCGGCGCACACTTGACTGGTGTGCGGTGCATCTCCGCGCCTCCTCCTCGGCCCGAGAAAAGACTGAGCCCCACCTGCTCGGTCCCCCCTACCTGTAAATTAGCTGAGCGTTTTCTGTCTTTTCCATGTAGATTACGGCAGCTCGCTCCGCCCAGTTTTGTGGATGATGATTGGATTATTTGATATGCATGGCCAGTTCATTACGACGCGAATCTCGCCGGAGAAAATGACCGGCTGCGATGCTGCGCCGCGCTGCACCCATTGGTCGCCGCCGCCGATCTCTCAACAGGTGCATTAGACCGTATATGCAAATCGCACGCGAGAGAGGCGAGATTGGGTTGCTGCCGCAATTATACGGACAGAGACCAAAACCAACACTAGGATAAGGAAAATAAATGTCAGCAAAAATAATTATTAAAATATTCTTTAACTAAACAAATGATTTTTGATAATTTTTTGATCATATTTTGTTGGTTTGCTGCTTAAGAGAAGAAGATTAGTGTACTATGCTACTATGGATATTTTAAAAAAGTTACTAAGCGTTGAATGTAATTTTAACACAGAACTCAATATTATGATACAATTAAAACAAAATAGTAAAATGTGTACACAAACTTTATTGAACAACAAAGCATAAGCCTAACAAAAAAAATGTGTATTGTAGAAATAAAAACAGATTTAAATATAAAATTAACTATAATAATTAATTTTAAAATTAATAGAATTTTAATTACATTTTAATTAAAATTTAATAATATATTATATTTATTTTTAAATTTTATTTCTATTCCTTTTAGAGTAATTTATATTTTTTGAACAATACCCAAATAAATTGCTTGCCATGGTGTTTAATTTTATTTTTTACTTTTGTTTTAAATGAAATTATTGCATAATTTTGTATTGAATATATTTTTTTTAAATGCCACAAACTAAATTAATTTAATTGTAAATTTGCAAGAATGATACCATCTTTATTCATGAAACGGAAACAATGTGATATAATAATTTTAGATAAATGATCAATAATAATAATAATCATATTTTTATTATTTGTCCACTGAAATTGAAAAATTGTTAGTATTTTGCCTCCACTTACTTTAGTGTACATAAATTAATGTAGAAATAAACTCACCAAAAATGTTTTGTAAATTGTGTGTAGAATACTGTGGGTTTGCGTCTTACAATTTACAATATATGTCTTTGCTAGTGTACACCAATTTAAGGGTTTGATCTATAAGAGAAGTTTACATAGATTTAAAAAAAAAATTAAATTTTTCTTTGTGTTTAGTAGACGTGATAGAACAAACGAACAAACTCACAACAAAAAATGTATTCGTGTGCTCGTGAAAAAAACTTTGTCCAACTCTATAATCATGGTTTGAAATTTGGTACCAAGTTATTTAATGTTATTTCTCACGCTTTTAGATTGGAATTCATTATGTATATTTACATTTTCAATAATATTCGACGCATTGAATTCTGATTGAAAAATACTTTCAAAGCAATCCAAGGAATGTAATTTTATGCAGTTCAATTAATTAAATTTCAAAACAAACTAATTAAGAGTGGACAAGCGAGATCGTGCATGCTCATGAAAGCAACAATTTTCTGCCCAAGAAAATAAAGCAGTATATCGATTTGAATTAATTGACTTGTGTATTCAAATCAAGTTAGAGCTGCAATATGATACATACGGCTAATAAATTGGCTCTTGCCCTTTTGAAATAATCTCGCTAATAATCCTAATAATAATCCCGACCGTGTATTTTATAATAAGCTCAACATAGTTTTAAATTAGTTATATTTCAAACTAGAGGCATATATTTTATATGCGTGCATGTTTGAAATAATTGAGGCATAAATAGAGCCGCTTATTTCGCTGGTTTGAATGTGTGTGTTTGTATATTTATTTGTTTGTTTATATAGGAGAAAAAGCAGGCACTCCTCTCTCGCTATATAATATAATATGGTTCTGAGCGGGCAGACGTGCACTCTATAATGAAGGACCTACCTGGCTGGATTTAATTGCTGCGGCTCATTTGTTCACCGCGCATTATTCCGCCGATAAACTTTGCAGACCATATTCGCCTTCTCGCGAATAAATAAAAGAAAAACGATCGGCCGGGCATTCACTCATTAGGACTTACACAAACGCCAAGCATAAATATTAAAACTTTTCTCTTTGTTGTCGCACCGAGAGGAAATTGTTATTTTGATGTACGATAGGCTGGAATTAATTTTAATTGCGCAAGACTGGGCCTTTCGTGTCGGCCTTGGTGGACAAAAGGCTCGCGCTGCACACAATCAATTAAAATTTCACGAAAAATCGGGGCGTCGTGCCGCTTAATTATATCGCACGGGGCCACTCCCTCGGTGCTGTACGTGTGTGTTTTGAGTTTTTTTTTCTGTGTCGCGAGTGCTCATTTCTCCAATAATTGCAACACCGCGCCATGCGTTTCCTTCGCCGGTGATTCACGCGCGATTTACATGCGTACACATTCGACAGGCTTCGATTTGGGCCTACGCGGATTTCCAACGGAAGCTCTCCTTGGCCTCCATATTGCTTGCGACCAACAGGAAAATGCATATTTTTCTGCGTGACGTCGCCCCAATCAAGGTTGTTTAATGATTTCTAATTAATTCAAATACATTAGAGAAGAATTTAATGGTTTGCACGTGGCATCAAATATTACTATTCCCAATTATCAATAACCGTTTGCTGCACATTCTTCAGTTTTAAATTATAAAAGTTGTAGTTAATTTAGTATGAGTAAATTATATATAATATATTTGAGAATCAATCACATTTAGGATGAATTTTAGGATACAAGCAGTTCATTGAATTCACTCATGAAAATAAATTTACAGAAAAATATAACTTCTATAAAAATTGTCAAAATAATTTAATTTAATAGAATGGAAATTTACTAAAAAGATAAATTTAATCCTCTTTTAAGCTCTCTTATGTACAATACATTAATTTTTTTTACATTTGTTAGCTGTATGTTTTTAATACAATCATTTCACAACCCTTTCTCGTTTGACTGATTGCTATTATCTTTCATTAATCAAAAATTCCATGCTATAAAAAAAATAGAAAGTTTTTTAAATATACATTCTGAATTTTAATTAACTTGCTAAATAACATCCCTGCACAAAATAATTATCTTTTCTGTGTTACACTCGATAAGGTAAACCAAAATATATTAACCAGAAAAAGTCCTGTCCTTTGTTTTCTCCTTTGCAGTAATTTTCTGCTCGTTCTCTGCTGTTTTCTTTTCTTCCCTCTCATCACTTATTTTTTTTACAGCCGTTCACTCGATATTTTTTCCATTCTTGTATGATTTAGAGTCGCGCACAGGGTTAAGACTTTCCTCGGTGTGTGCAGGTAAAATCCACATATTCAAATTTAATTAGCGGCTGCATACTTGCGAGTCATTACGGCCGGCAAGAATTCACAACAAAAGAATAAAAATGCTCGAGTGCGCACGAAATGGTCATAAAAAAGCAACACGTTTTTATTCAGGGTGATTTACATTTTTAATTCTCTGCACCGTCGCAATATTGCGTGCGTTTCCGAGAGCAGATGCAATAATTGGTTATTGAGTCATGCCACGACAATCGTATGCCAATGAGGACCAATTAATTTTAGTATGCATCACGTCATATAAGAATCATGTCGGTGTAATTAATTAATCTGAGCTGCCACTTGAACTGCCATGAACCAAAATGAAAACACTCTAGAAATACTAATCAAAGTAGATAAGCAAGTAGACAATAAAATATAGTCTAGAATTTTCAAATAATTTTTTAGATATAAAAAAATTACCATTTTATTTTCTTTCATGATAAATTAAACATTTTTATAATTATAATCTTTCTTCTTCTTCTACCTTTAAATAATTTTTGTTGAAAGTTGGACAAAAAATCCAGAACTCTTCGCGTATCTTGTAATGGGGCGCTAATTAATATGATTTTCTGAACTTGCATTTTTAATTGAAACTTGCTTTTTAATTGAAACTTGTTTTTATTTGACATGTTTGAATGTTGCAAAGTTTCACGCACGTGTCGTCTTTTTGAAAACCTGAATGGCTATTCTTATCAGGGGAAGCATGCAATTTACCACAGCGATTTACTGCCCCAATTAAGGCGCCGGAAGAGGAAAAACTGAGGAAAAACAACAGCAAATTAAACTTAACTACTAAATTATACCTTCTCAAAATTTTTATCCCCAATAGGAGTTTCAAGAATTCTATTGACAAAGACAACTTATATTCTGGACTAAAACGAAATGTAGCCAGAGCTTCACTTCAATTTATTTTTTTTTCTGTTGTTTTACTTGTGAAATTGTTTAAATAAACAAATCACTGCTTGACTTATCTTGATGCTCTCTATTACTGTAATGCTTTAAAAAATTAAATAAAAAATAATTTTAATTAGAGAAGTAAAAATATGTTAATAATATGTATTTCAATAATGTAATTAATTGTTAATTTTCTCACGAAAAGAGTTAAATTAAAAAATGTTAATTTTTTCATTTCACTGGTTGTCTGTGACTGCTAAGTACAGAGGGTGAACTTTTCATATTTCTACAGCACTGGCTGTGTGAAATCCACACCACGAGTCACAAAAGTCGAGTGTAAAAAAGTAAAACAGCAGGTGTTTGACCCCATCACGATATCGAATCGACTTTGAACATTTTCTAAATCGCTCTCGGTACGCCTGTCAATGTTTGTTTCTGAAAAATTATTCAAATGGTGGTCCCGGCGTGAGCGATAATCAGCAGTTTGCTCTCTTCAGAGGGGCCGCCAAAAAGAGGCCGATCGCGTTCGTTTAATTGTGTATTACCGCGACTGCATCCGACCACCCATCAAGTGACTCACTCCAATCACTATATTTTATCGAGATTCACGTCCCGCGCTGGGAATTTACATGTTCATCCGTCACAATGTGCACTCCAATTACACTTACACATCTCTCTGTGGAGAATGATTAGAGGATGCTTCTGCCGCTCTTTACTCGGAAAATGCTCCAACGCGATTGACTATTCTTTATCTTGGAGCACCGGAGG